GGAATGCCTGCTTCTGGTGAAATAAAAATCTTGAGTCCAGAGTCTCTGAGTCTACAAATTCTGTACCACTTTGCGTATAATGCTTTGAAGAGTAAATATACCAGCATACCAGGATGTTACTGCTCCATTTTCTATTTTGTCACTTGTTGACATTACTTTTGTAAGCTATCTTGCTGCCTTTCACTCTGAACAAGCAAATAATTGCACATCAGTAAATGCAGCAGTGTGTAACTTCAGAAATTACAGAAACAGCTGAGTGATTACCACACTTCTGAATTTTTCATGCATCATGACTCACTTCGCTGGAACAGAACACACAGATACCCAGCAAGTTATTATCACGATTTGAACATACAACCCAGTTCAAATAATTTGAAATTATTAAAAAGACTTCTGTAAACATGCTTAAGTTCAATTGTATGCCTCAAGCATTTGTTAAAAGCTCCTTAAGAACTATTATAATTGAAATAACAATTTCAAACAGAAACAATTATAGGATTTGGAAATTAATCTATAAAGCAACGCTACTTACTCCAGCTAAAGTTCTATTAATATGTTCAGCTATACAGTCTTTGTATAACTCACACTTGGCCTTCGGATTTTCTGTAGAAATTAAAAAGAAACTAATTATATATTGCAATTTAATCAATATTCAGTATACACTCATTGTAAGAGCTCTTGTTTAAGTTATTCCCCAAACCACCAGCATGCTAAATTTATGGACATAAGACACAGCACTCCATTCTCAAACTTCAACTTCTGAAACTTTATCTTGGCCAAAGTTAGAGCACTGGGCTGGACTTAGGGCTTTTGTTCTACTCAGGTAGAGAGTTTGGCCCCTTTCCTTGGGACTTCCACAGGTGAAGTTAAAAGACAACTCAAATTTGCAGAGAGGAGTACAAATGCGACAACTGTGAGGGGGTAATCATTGTTTCAAATGGATTTCATCACAGTGTTCATAAAAATACATTTACGAAATGATTCTGTTCTCAGGAAATGTAGATGCCCCTGTCTTGCCTCTTTTTTCATGTCTTGCTGATTAATCTAACTGAAGATAAAGAGGCGCTGCTGGGTTTCTCAGAAGATATAGCTCTATAATAACACATAAACCTTTATAATATCATGTACCTTGGCAGGAAGTGCCATCATTTGGCTTAAACTGCAATTTTCCTGTGGATGGTTGATAACCTTCCTTACAGGAGCAGTTAAACCCTCCATCCACGTTTTCACATTTTGCATGATCTCCACAGGCAACAGTTCCTTCGTTGCTGCACTCATCTACATCTGCAAATATCGTGAGAAATTGAATTTTTTATTAAGTATTTACAGACTAACACCTTGCTGCTTTGTTGATAATAGGCCTGCACACTGCAAACAGCTTCATAATAAAATTTCATGGAATAGAAAAAAAAAAAGCAAAAACTAAATGGCAAAACACCTGACAATTATAATATTCAGAGATTGGAAAGATAAATCACAATTGATCATATTTTTATGCTATCACTTTTATTACTATAAAATAGTGCATTGTTCATGTTTTAAAACCATGAGTGTAAATATTAATTCTATCATAACAAAATTCTCAGCATGATGCAAATCATCTGAAATCCATTTTCCAGAGATTAGACTAAATAGATTTTCTCAGCCTTATGATTCAGTTAGGAAAGAGAAAGAAAACCAAAGCCCTTTATTTTAAGTCACGGCTTTAAAAAGATGCTAGAAAAGATCACTCTATCCATCTTGTTAATCTGAGATTTAAGCTCTGTGCCCTTTAAAGTGCTTGGCATGTCTTTTTTTTTTTTTTTAATCCACGTTTAAATTACGTTTGCCTAAAATGGCTTCTAAATAATTTGCTATTAGGTAGAGAGGTTCGGTAACTGGGTGGAGCACAGTCCAAGAGTAAAACTGATTAATTCTAATAAGGGAATCCATGAATTGATCACTTTAGGAGAACTGAGTACTAACTCTGGCAGGAGTAAGGATTATTTTGCATTATTTGGTTGGCTGAGGATGGAGATCAAATAACTCAAAGGAGAAAGTAAACTGGGAACAATACCAAATAATTCTGAAGAATGAAGTAATGGACTGTGAAGTGCTGTTCTGGAAAGGAGAAAAAAGTGAACAGCTTTGGGAGAGGTATATCTGACAAAAAAAAAGCTGAAAAATGAAGAAGTGAAACATAAGCAGATTTAAAGGAACAGCCTGAGAACTGACCTGAAGAATACTAAAGGTAAAGACAAGAATGGATGAACCAAGAGAGGAAGACAACCTAAGCTAAGAACTGGCACAACATTGAATTTGTGACAGAAATTGGTGAAAAAGAAGAACTGACTAATCAATTTGTAGAGAACAGCTATCTGAATTAACAGGATGCCTTTGCACAGCTGGATGGGTGTTAAGGACAGTCAGAAAGCAGGTAGAAGGGGCTGGAAATGCACCATCAGCATCCAGGAACTGTTGTTTTGATACAAAATTCTTGGTAGTTTTCAAAAAAGAGTTGAACAGAAATGAGCAATAATATATATGAAATAAGCCTGCTAGAGAAACGGGAATTGTGGGAAAATGGAAAAATACACTGTGTGTCTGTGGATATACCTAGGGAATGCAGAAAGATGTCTGAAGGATACCATCTGCCTATTTGGCCAGCATTTTTGGTAACTTTGTAGAACATTCTTTATTAATGGCAAGAGAGCCTCCATAAATAATCAGACGAATTTTATTTAATTTTATTTTATTTATATGGGGCAACTGTGAAATGCATTTGAACTGCTAATAGAGTATCCCAACAGTTTCTGCATCCATACAGTTTTTGCTGGTTTGTGCCTAATTACCCAGCTCCCCTTCTTCTGCTTGTAATCCTAGAGGTCATCTTGAGGTTCAAGGAGATGGTTGAGGTCCCATCTCACTTTCATATCCCTATTTTCCTCACTGAGCAGTGGCTCTGATTTGCACCCGAAATGTTGTATTTTAAGGCTGAGGTTCAGAAGCTCCCATTGAAAAGCTGTTCAGATTTGCACATGGCACAGATGGGAAGGAGAGGTGGGTCTGGAGATGATTTGCTTTCCCCAGCACAACCACCTCAGCTCCTCAGGGAGAGCCACCAAGGAGGCTCTGTGTTCAACTGGGTTGGTGCAAGCACTGAAACTTGAAGTATTAAGTTAAATTATAATTATCAGCATTAGGGCAGAAGTTTGTTTCTCTATTTAGTGCCCCAAACTGCAAATGTCTCCCTTTAATGAGTCAAGTTTTGCATTAGCTGCATTTGTAGGGTTTCTGTGACCTCAGGAATCACAGAGATAACCACATTGCACATCAATGAATCCATCAAAAGTGAAGAAAAGGCAGGGAAAAAGCGTGATATAGTGCTACACACAAGCTACTTCATAATTAAACACTGTCATTTAAAGTCATAAGGCTGAAGTTCTTACTCTTGGCATTTAAATAACCTCTAACATCAGTAAATCATAAAGCTCTTTTTGAAACAAGTAGTTGCTTGTCAGTGCTCTGCTGTGTGACCCTGTGTAAGGCAGAAAAACTTTGAATAAGTTGAAAGGGCAAGGGTGAACACTATGACAATACCAGTTTGTAGAACAAGAACACACATCAGGCTTATACTGAAGATGTCTTTAGCCTCATCAGCTACACAGACAAGGACATGTGCCTCATAACAAGATATTCAGCATGTAATGCAGTGCTAAACCACCAGAAAATTACATCAATCTCTGCTAAAATTTACAATGACTTATAATAAATAAATAAATGAATAAATATTTGACTGCTTTCCAGACTACTGTGGCTAGATATCAGGTTTCCATATGATTTACTGATGCAAAGATGTCAAAATTATTATGACTTTTTTTACTTTTCATGAACCTTTAATTTGTCATTATTGGGCAGTCACACAAATTACCCTTCTTTTTGTAATTATGTCAGATTTTAAGTGTAATGGAGATTTCAGTTAGAAGTCGGGATTATCCAGAACTACAGCAGAAACTCAAGCATCCAGACATATCTCTAGCAACAAGACGGCTGTTTAAAATCTGATAGAGACACCCTATTGAGTAAATGCAAATAGAATTTCTACAGTTGAGCTGTCCATATGGAATGACACCATATCACATCTATCTAATTTACTGTTTCCTGGAGAAAAAAACCCACAACTCCTGGATGACAAAACTAAAAGGCAATATGCCTGATCTTGCAAGGTACTAATCAGCTTTTAAATCAATGAGATTGTCAGGGGCGGCCAACAATTTGTGACTGTTGCAAGAATGCGGCTTTTAAGTTCCTCCTTTGAAATATCGTGTGCAGTAGCTGTAGATTTTTGTTTCTTTCTATTTTGTAGTTATGCCTTTTCAACTGAATATGCAATTGTTAGACCACACACAGACAACAGCTTGCCAGTGCTTTCAGCTATCCAATTTTACTGGAGCTTTGGGGCAAGGATCTCAAACTGTCCTCCTTGATCTACCATGGGAGCAGGACTGGGCTGCCAAGGCTTGCGTGAACAGTCTTCACAAAATACGTTCCTGAGCAAAGGTTGCAGACCAGCAGCTTTTTATATAGAGGAGCATTTGCCCCCGCTCTGAAAAAAGCCCCGGCCTTTTAATAAATATCCAAAACAAATCCTGGAGCCGAACTTTGAAGCTTTTATAATAGCTCTGATCAGAAAAATAATATCACCAACACCACTTAGGCTAGTGTGAAAATAGATTTATAACCTTTTATTTTATTTCTGTGCTTTGTCACTCCTCATTTACTGTAGCACGCAAGGAAATTCCAATTAAATTAAAAGCACTGAGAACAGTTATTATGTTCAGTCTTGCCAATTACTGGATTGTACCTACATCGCTTTGATTCCTCACCAGTCAGTCAAGACAGCTTGATGTCTACATTATACCTTCAGCTTATTAGTAGCTTGCAAGTGATTGAAAAGTCCAATTGCAAAGGACTAGATGTTCCCTCCCCATGTTTCCACACTGTGGAAGGCAGCAGCACACATGAAGTAGAAATTAAAAAGTCTACAAATGGCATGGGTAAAAGAAAAGTTAGCAATGTGGCATAATGCCATATCCCATCCACTGTACAACTCCCTTAAAGAAAAAGATGTGATGGAAAATGGTGCCTTCCCAGCATTCTCAGAAATACCTGAAGAAAACTAATAACGTGTTCCTGGAAAAGGCAGAGTGGCACGGATGTCACTTGCATTTCATGGATGGTCATTTTAATGTTTTTTACTGTGTTGACTGGGGAGAAAAAAAGTAGGTTTATATTTCACCTCTTTATCTGCAGCCGAACGTTCAATAAAATGTGTAGTCTAAGGGAAAAGCACAGCTTTTACACAGTAAATAGTTTTTAATAGCTTACATTCAGGACAGCAGATAAATATCATCTTCAGAAATATCACATTTCTGTATACCTCTTTTTTTCCCTCTCTCTTTCCTTTCTCTTTTTCCTTTTCTCTCTCTCCCTTCCTACACTCCAGTTCCTCCTCTACCTCCATATTTCACTGTCACTTCTTCATCAATTCTGCCTGATAACATGGATGAAATACCACTAACCTTCAACACAAAAGGCAGCATTCTGGTCAGCATTCTGGTTGTCCCAAGTTTTCTTTCGATCCACTCTCTTGAGAGTGGATCATCCTCAGTGTCATCATGCAGCACACGCAGGACAACCGGGTGATCAGGCCCAGTCAGCATAGGGTTTTGAAAGACATGTCCTGCTTAACTAACCTAACCTCCTTCTATGACAAGGTGACTCAGTGGATGAGGGAAAGGCAGTGGATGTCTACCTGGACTTTAGTAAAGCCTTTGGCATGGTTTCCCACAGTACTCTCCCAGAGAAACTGTCTGGTCATGGCTTGGATGTCTCTCAAGAGAGACAGGGAACTGCTGGAGAGAGTCCAGCACAGAGCCACAGAGATGATGAAGAGAGTGGAATATCTCCCTTGTGAGGAGAGGCTGAAGGAGCTGGGTCTCTTTACCTTGGAGAAGACTGAGGAATGACCCCATTAATGTTTATAAATATGTCAAGGGTGAGTGTCAGGAGGACTGAGCCAGGCTCTTCTCAGTGATATCCAACGACAGGACAATGAACAATGGGTGCAAGCTGGAGCACAGGAAGTTTCACAAAAATATTTAAAAAAACTTTTTCCCTGTGAGGGTGACAGAGCCCTGGCACAGGCTGCCCAGGGAGTGTGTGGAGTCTCCTTCTCTGGAGACATTCAAACCCTGCCTGGACATGTTCCTGTGTGACCTCCTCTAGGTGATCCTGCTTTGGCAGGGGGGCTGGACTAGAAGATCTTTCAAGCTCCCTTCCAACCCCGGACATCCTGTGATTCTGTGAACTACCTGAACAGAGGTTGTAGCAAAGTGAGGGTCTGTCTCTTCTCCCAAGTAACGAGCAACAGGACAAGACGAAATGGCCTCAAGTTTCACCAGGGGAGGTTTAGATTGGATATTAGGAATGAAAGGGCTGGTAAGCACTGGAACAGGCTGCCCAGGAAAGTGGTTGAGTCACCATCCCTGAAGGCTTTTAAAAGACATGTAGATGTGATGCGTACAGACATGGTTTAGTGGTGGACTCGTCAGTGTTAGGTTAATGGCTGGACTTAACGATTTTAAAGGTCTTTTTCATCGTAAATGATTCTATTTACAATGACAACTTCAGTGTTTGCTTCAGCTGTAGTACACTCTGACTACACTATTGTTAGTTGCTTGCATGCAAGTCATATCTCCTACCTGTAGCAGCAGATCCATTGGGTAAAAATTATCCCATTATGGTTTCTCTGACAGATAAAGTAGAAAATTAATTGTGGATCAAGAGGTTGTCTTTAGGACTCACTGCTTGGTACAGTAATTAGTACACTTGTTTTATGAGAAATGGTGCCCACTGGTAATTTTTTATTTCCATATGAGTTTTGGAAGCTCTCAGCTCCGCCCATATGGATTTGCAAAATGGAGAAGAAAAGTGGCAAACTAACCCCTAGTAGAGGATAAGAAAAGATCAGTCTGCCCAGCAAAGAGGGAAGGAAGGGAAAAAAAAAAAAGTGACACAAAACCAGTCAGAGAAATAATTTTGAAGATAAAACTTCTGAAGCTGGGGAAATATCATAATGTAAAAATCAAAGCCTGGACCAGAAATGGAGAGAATATTTACAGCTCAACGTGCCAACAGTCTCAATCCCAGCTAATTTAAGAACGATTCATAGTGGCTGGATAAACCAGAGCTCTTTTAGATGAATGTGAGCAATGGGCAAGAAATGTTGATTAGATCACTTTCTGGCTTAATATGCAGCCATTCTACTGATATTAAGAGCAGTAAGAAGAGAGGTTGTCAGCACTTACAAGCTCACAGGAGACATATCTAGAACGAGACACAGTCAGCATAAAGGTGTAAAGGGCAATAGATTTATTTCTCATTTTCCCATTCCCTGAGGACTGCTGCAGCATACAGAGAAAATTACTAGGAGGTTGAAAAAAGAGAAGTAGTTACAGTTCTTCCATTCAAAGGAAATCCTAAAGGATTCCACAGTTGTTCAGAAATAACATTTTTCCACAGAACTTTTTCCTCCCCTGTAATCTTGAACATGTTGCATCAACTGCTACAGAAACAGAGGCTGATGGATGGCACAGGAGGTAGGATAACTACTGATCTTGCTCATTGCTTTTGATCAGACTTGAAAAATTACCCAAAATATGTCAACCCAAGCCCCCAGACAAAAGATATTTGGGGCATAATAGGTTAAATGTATAGGGAATTTTGTTGATCCAGAGTGACCTGAAAGCAGAATGCTTTCTCACTCTGCTTTGTTTTAAGGTTATGACCACCTTCCTCACAGATTTTTTTGTGCCATAAATAGGTGGATTGAGGGTTTCTGTGTTATCTTCTATATATTCATTGCCTAAAACTCTAGCAAGTCAATAAAAATATTGCAAGCAGATACAAGATGGAATTGTTGCTGAAAGCAATGGCATCTGCTGTGTTATCAGTGAAAAGTGTGGGCCTGAACTGGAATATTAAGTCTGTACCCGTCCAAATCGTAGGAATTGTACATCCGGACTCCAAACTTCACCAATCTGAAAGCGTTTTGCTGGGTTTCTGTAACTAGCAGACACACTAAGAGAAAAGTGAAAATGTAAAGGTAGCTGGTAGATATTAGCAACTTACCCACGCAGGAGGTTCCATCATTAGGTATAAAAGTTTGTTGACCGTTGCTGGATTTGAAGCCAGGCACACATGTACAGAAATAACTTCCCACCGTGTTTGTGCAGTTGGCATGCTCTCCACAAAGCTGAGTAGCATTTGCACATTCATTATCATCTGTCAAGACATAAATTATGGAGAAATATATTTGCACTTGCCGTTTGAAGAAAACAGTAAAGTAAAAGTCTAATTTGGCCTCTGGTATTTTATTTATATAAATTTTGAATGCTGAGCTGGCACTCTTCGTGTTTGTCTATATAGTTTTCCCATTGACAAAAACGTAATCAGGTTTTCAACAGCACTCTTCTGCCCTCATCCTATGTGAGTTAACAAATGGGAAAACCTGTGGGATGCTGAAGTGAAAGGTTTAACTGGATATTCACTTGGAATAAAGGATTGATACAAGCACATGTTCTGCCATGGTTGTATTTAACAACATTTCTTTGCTACCCAAAAATCTACAGGTAGAGAGTCACCTCAGGGATGCATCTGGAAATTTAGAATCGTAGAAAATAGAGCTCAAAAGGATATCAAGAAGTCACTCACTTCATTCCCTAACACCAAAGAAGGTTAATGGCTTGATCTTTACCTCTTAGCAATTGCTGTGGAAGTCATGGTTTTTGTACCTGTAAATTTACGTGATCTCTCTTACAGGGCTAATCCCATGCCTCCAATGATACATGAAAAAGGAAATATACACACCAGTTTTAAGACCACTTCATCTCTGCAAAGCCTCTGCATGTGCTATCGTCATGAGCATGGGGATCCAGCTACCATGATCAAAGGTTAAATGAAATCATAAACTCGTGCTTTGAACTGTACAGTTGATCTGCAATGACTCAATAAAACTGTTTCCTCTCTAGAATCTTCCAAGGTCTCTGTTGTCCATTGAATACTTTTCAGACCAAATAGAGAAAAATTTCAAAAGCTTCCTTATCCAGACATTCTACCTATCAAACTGAGAGTAACACCCAGAATACTGAGCACCCCAAAACTCTGCAACAAACAAATCATGCTCTCCCAAAGAAGATGACACTCTGATTGAAGTTATCCATTTTCTACATTTTGAGAAAGGAAACAAGCTAAATGCTTCCTGAAATCTACTGGGATTTTGTTCCTGTTTTCAAGCAAAAGGTACTCACAATGAATGACAGGAGAGAATTATAACAGCAAGAGAAATAACAATTTATTGAAGAAGAACGAATAAGGAGCATGACAGTGAGAAGAAATATGATTTCAGAAAAGACACACAAGGATGAGTTTCAGGAAGGTGCTTTTGCTTTCCTGATAGTGTTCTCATAACATGTTTACAAAGATAGGGTACAGATAAGTAAAGTGTCAGGCAAGCTAGGGCAGCGGTAAGATTTAAAGTACAGCAAGAGCCGCAAAGTGTTCCAGGAATATATTCCTGTAATATAACTTAGTCACAACCCCCAACATAACCCTGGAACAGAACATTTTTTTTTTTTGTCTGACATGATTTGAAGTCTGACATGATTTTGAATGTTACTCAGTTGACTCAGAGATACAAATATCAATTCAGAACTACAGCTTTCCTCAGAAGAGTTTGGGTCAACAATATCAAATGAATTATGCTCATTATAACTAAAACTGAATGTAATTTAATGAGGAATCCAAGTATAAAAGTACTGTGCCAACACACATCAGCAATATTTATTCTACAGCTTTGATATTCATAGGAGTGCAGTAGAGGTATAAGACTTAGGTCTTATCAAAGTAAAACCAAGTTAAATTAAAGAGAAATTATGATAGAGAGGAAATAATATCATGTTGTCCATGTTCAAAAGCAAAGCATGAGAATACGAAAAATCCAGTCTGGCACGTGGCATTTCAGAGACCAGGTGTCAGAACAAAATCTTGGTAACAAGGTCCACTTCTTCACATATCATTTGTGTGTGTCAGTTTGGCTCTTTTACTACCTCACTTTGCTCCTGGATTCTGGGCATTTAATGCCAAAAAAAAAAAAAAAAAAAGCAGACTATCCTATCAGTTAACTTGGTCCTGAGAGAGTATTATACATCCTAGAAAAACACATATGCTCACTTTGGAAAGCTCATGAAATAGTAGTCTTGGAAGATGAAAAGTAAAAGGACGCTGACGACTTTAGGACCTCATTCAAACCAGAGGAATAAAGAGACAAGGAGAGAAAAGCTACAGGCAAAAATGTTTCTTTTAAACCTGTTTCCTGGGCGTTCAACTATTGTCTTCAAAATCCAGCAATATGACCTTTTTCAGGTGGTCCAAAGAGTTTATAAGCAATATTAAAATGACTCATGCAGTGGTCATCAACCAATTCTTTGCAATTATGCTTAATTAACTTTACTGGATTATTGGTGTTTTTCCTCAGAATTTAGGATGTCTGTAAGGGGTTTGATGGTGACTATATTGCCTCAGGGGCTTGTCTACTAAGAGCAGCTTTCGGATAACTTAAGAAATCTTTAGAACATTGAGAAATTATAGCAGTAACTTACAAAACAAACCAGAATGAATATTTTAAATAGTTAAATTCTTAAGGAGCTGTCTTTTCATTTTTCCCATGGTCTAATGTAATACTGAGCAGACCATGCTGGGGGATAATTTACTGGACCACATCCTGCTTCCACTGAAATTAATGATATCAAAGTCGCTGACGTAAGTAGGCTCAGGGTGGTGCTCACTATGGAAAACTACTCGGTTAATGAGAAAGGCAAATGAAGAAGTAATTTTCAATTAAAAAAGAGTTTCATGTACACTTTGACTACATGTGTTTAATCTGCCTAATTTCACACAAAATATTTTACAAGTTCAACAATGATGGCAAAAATATCTTCTAGTTCTCTCTGTAAACAACTTAAACTTTTTCTTCAGACAGTAGTTCAACGTGAAGAGCAGAGGCTAAAGTAATTTTCCAAATATTACATGATTAATAGTAGTATTTGATTTGCGATTTAAAGGACATCGAAGAAAACAACAGGATTTATAGATGGAAAAATATTTTGGTTTTAGGGTTTGTTTGTTTTTTTTTTTTTTTAGAGAATTACCTGTCCAACAAGCATATAATCAACCTATTTTGTTGCTATCTAATTTAATTATGGCCCATGCATTCACTTCTGGCACAGACACTCATTTAACACTGCAGACAGTGTTTCAGGAATGCAGATTATTTTAAAGATTTTTTTTTTTCCAGTAACTGATGAAAAATTTGGAGACTTTTAGAGATGAGATTGGCCAAATGACAAGGTTAATTGTGGTGGCTAAATGGTAATGATGCATTCAAGTCTGTTTAATACACAAGACATTCCCTGAATAGCTGAACTGTCTTAAGAAATGACAGCTGGGGATTGGGGAGTAGGTTGCTAGGGCTTTTTTTTGTTTGTTTTATGGTTTTGATCTAAAGTTTCATCATTAAAAATCATAATGTAAGGAAGGTTATAAATAATTTTCTAGGAAATTTGGGTTAAATAGCCCAAAGATGGGTGGATACAGTAATATGTATGTATGTGTACCTGAATATTGGTAGGATGCTTACATGATAGAGGTGTAAAATAAACCCATTTCTCCATTTTCACCTTAAAAATGCAGTTACTATGTATTTTACTGTACATAAATATAATCATGGTTAGATGGAATCAGCTACTGCCTGCATGTAATCATATCTCTACTAGTCTCTTGAAAATGAGAAGACCATCGGTTTAGGATTGAGTAGTTCCACTAAAAACTTTGGGCACTGGTGGAAGTCTTCCCCTGTCACCGAGGGGTATAAATTACATCCAGATATCTGCCAGTCAGGCCTACGTCTCCCAAGGCTTTCTACTTGGGCCTTGCTACAGGGAGAGCACACTTCTGGTGCTTTGGCAGGGGCCCCAGTTCTGCAGCCTGTGCCACGGGTCGGGTTCTTCGCAGGCTCTGACATGGGTAAGCAGCCAGGCTGGCCAGAGGGGCAACAGGCTTCCCAGGGCAGCAGAAATCTGGCTCTTGCAGATGAACTCTTTCAACACCTTGACATTCCAGAAAAGGATTTTAATAAATTAAGAACTCCTCACAGAGCTCGAATTTGATAACCTGATTTTTCCCAAGGCCATGCCTAAACAAGCATAGGCCCGACGGCGTGTTTTTCATAAGTTTAATCAAAGCTTGACGTTACTACGGACCATATGCAAGTCATACTGAGGCCACTACTGTGTACTACAGTCTGTACACAAACTGTATACCACATTCACACCCTATTCAGTCCATTGCCCAGATGACATAAACAAGCAATTAAAACACCAAAAATTAAATTTGCCCCTATCCAGGCCTTTTGAAACCAAGGTTAGAGGCCTCTGGGGCTTACCTGTCTATCATGAACGGCAGTTGCAGCATGGGGCTGGGGACCAGTATTGGACACAGGAGTCTGAAAAGTGGACAGCGCTGGTAGGAAGGAAACGCAGCTGGAGTGGCTGGGGAATACATTGATTCACTGCATCCGGCTGTTCTCTTTCGACAGCAGCCTCTGCTGCCAGAGCTGCTATGGAGCCCCCGGGGGAAACGAAAAACTACCCTTCCCTCCTGCAACCCTCATGGGAGAACAGTACTTGAAGTGCCTCACTTAACCCCTCAAAAGCAAGGAAATGAAAGGCTTCCTGTAAAACAAATTCCAGCGCCACTCACCCTGCTGTGCTCAGTTTGTCTGGAGGTCTCAGAACAGCGGCTGATCTTACATACATTACTTCTGTGCTGCAGGACTGCGCGTCTACAGCCATCGCAGCCTCAGTTAAGAACAGCAATATCATTAACAGCCTTGCCTTTCCTTCCTTGCGATGTGCTTCCATTAATGGCAATTTAACACAATTTGTTTATGATTCTCCAAAGATTCAGCATTCAAGTTTGGTCTAAATCAGCATGAAGGAGCAGATGCTTAGAAAAACTGCCTGAGACTGCAGAACTGGGCTGGAACTCTTATTTAAATATGAATTGGTTTCATAAAGGGCCCGATTCATCTTTGTCCTACGCTGGGGCAGGAGACTATGCAGTTGCTGCATGAGACATCTTGCCACTACAAGCTCTGTCTTGCTAAGATTTCCTAACTCCACCTCTGTGAAAGAGCTCTCTGCAATGCCTTCTCAGGATGTTTTAAT